CCTGTGTATTTTGTAAGGTTTGCAGACAAGCAAGAAGAGACCGGAAGAGTGAAAAAAATAAGTGGATGCTCTCCTTAAAAAAAGAAAAAAGACAAATACTTGTTCTTGAATTTTTGTCTAAAATAATATGTACTTGTCCAATTATGACACAAGAAAACTGCTGCTGTCTTTTCCGTGTGGATTTATGGGGTGAAACATTTGCTTTGTCAATGTTAGTTGAGCTTCAGTCATTAGCTTGTGTAGGGCAAATTTTCCATCCACTGCTTAGTACTTTGTCTCCATCCATCTTTTCATGGAGGGAGAAGTTTGGAGGCTTACTAGAAATACAGCACAAATTGAATTATCCAAAGAAAAGCATTCTAATTTTCAGTGTTCTCGCTTTAAAGCAATATGTCTGGTTTCTATTGGGTCTTCTGTTCAGCACATCTATATCGCTTTTCTCTTACTGCTCAGGCAATTAACTACATCTCAGAACACCCCAGGGAGATAGGTATTCTTGTCTCATTCTACCAGTGAGGAAGCCATACCACAAAATATTGAACAGTTATCCAAGGTCACTGAGCAAACAAGGAGTAGAGCTAGTAATCACAATTCCTGAATTCCACTTGAGCTCTATCCCAAGTGCAGCATGCTCTCTGCACATGCATGCAGTATAAATGACCTTGCAAAAATGGTGGAGATTTTTGCTTATAGGAAATAAAAATATTTTATTCTGAATTAAAAGCAACTTCTGTTTCTAAAACACTGAAAGCTAAGTGAAAAATTAAATTAAACCATTATACTACTTGCTGTTATATACATCATAACTATCTGAACAGAATACCTCTTTTTAATCTCTTCCTGGCCACCTGTCCAAAATAATTGACCAGAGATTAATAAATTTGTGCCAAATAATTGTGGGCAATACTCAGATGTTAAATAATTTATTAGGAAGAAGAAGTGATCAGGTCTTTATTATTACAGGGACTAAGCAATGAATATAAATACAAAAATATTAGAAAATAACACATTCATATGTAAATCGCATGCTGTTAATATGTATCTTTTTTATTTTAAAGCATCCATTAATGTGATCTGCCTTTTAATTATTGCATTGTTTCCCTTTTTGCATTTGTCAAAGAGTTTTATTCAATGCTGGAAAATTGCATGACAAAGTTGCAGAATGCAGATTGAAGAGTGAAAAAAGGTGTCTGAATATGTGCTTTTCTTGAATCTTGTACTTGAAGTCATTTAAGCATGTGATGATATCCACATGGATGAGCCACTGAATTTTTCTGTGCTTTCAATAATACGTAGGTACAATAGTAAGACAGAAACAACTTCATATGTACCTCTCTCTGTGCTATAAATGTTACCATTTAGATCTCATATTCAGAGGAAATTCTCAGCTTAAAAATGGTATGATCTTTTTTCATTCTGTCTCTCCAGTAAGAAAAAAAATCTAACTATAATTTTGTATTTAAACATTAGATCAAAGCTAATGAGTCTCCTAGCAATGATCAAACAATAATCTTCAAAGATAGCCTCAACTAATATATCAATAGTCTGTAACAGATACTGAAAGCATTTATATAACTCAATGAACACAGTATAATAGATAAGAGTCAATCTGAACCATAAAAAGCACTGCAAAAATACTAACGTCATTTCAATCAGTCATAAACCAAGGGTGCTGATTGACTGATAATAATTAATTTTATATCCTAAAGGTGAGCTTCAAATACCAATTGACAGGAAGCATACAGCAAACTGAAAGTATGCAGTGTAATTAAAAGGGTTTTACCCATGTCTTTAATTTCTTATCAAAGAAGCTACAACACTTGTTACCACACCCGCAGGAAACCTCATGCCCAAGCACAATCAGATTCCTCACATATAAACGCTATTAGGTTTCCTTCATGCTGCTATATATATATTATAGTTTTAGTTTCTGAAAGCGAAACATACAGTATTTCTGCTTAACTTAGAATGTCAAAGTTGGAAATAACACCAAGTTCCTGAAAAAGCTGGACCCTCTGCCCTCAGTTATTAAGTTGCCTGTGTGGATTTCTTTTCAGTCACAGTCTTTGACACCTGATAGCACTGGGGACAGTCAGAAGTGAAAAGGACAGGGCATGAGTGGAGCCTGCTATGGCATAAGGACTGGATGGGGGTCTGGACGTCACAGAGGGAAGAGAAAGGTCAAACTGCGCAGAGTTTCTTTCAACAGGAATCAGAAGAAGGAAAAAGAATCAGCGTTAAAACACAATGACCACCCTGCACATTTCTTCAGCTCTTGGTCAGTCTCTCACTTGCAGTTCTCCCAATTACCTTTCCATCTCCAAAGCTACACCTATTACCTGCTCTTCACTTGAAATCCCTCTCAGTTTCCACTTCATTAACATGTGACTTTACTAAGATTAAGGCTCTCTTTCTGTCCCTTTTTGGTACAGTCTTTCAGAGACAGGCTCCACTGTTCTCCTGTTCTCAAACACAGTGAAACTGAGCCTGGTAATCCAACAAGCTACTGAGGTAGTCTGTATGGCTCCAATCTTTTAAGACTGTTCCTGAAGACAAGAGATTTCCATTCTCAGAAGCCCCGTTTCTTCCCTTGATGCTGAAAGAAGAAAGCTTACATTGGACTTCTGAAATGGAGACATGAAAGACCAGCTTGGCACATCAAGGAACCTTTAATTACTAGCATGCAGATATGTTGTTGTTCTTTAAAAATCCCCACAGGAAAAAACCCACTAGTAATCTAACTTCTTTTTTGGTGTGGCTCCATCTTGAAATTTATTGGCATAGTGTGATTCAGAGGCTCTTGATAGTGCTGCTCCCTATCATGTTCCTTTCTCCACAATAAATATATAATCCTTACTGCTGTATGAGTGGTAGATGCCAGTGTTTTCCCACTTGAAGGCCGTAATCCCAAAAGTTCCATCTGTGTTTTGGCTATGGATTCACCTGTTAGTACACTAGGGTCTATCGTACAATATCAACAGGAGCTGTTAGCTGTCAACCATGGTGTCAATAATGGTGTTAAAGTTTGAAATCAAGCAAATAGGTCCACCATATTACTGAAAAAGAGACTTGTACCACAAATTACAATTCTGGTTTTGTACTCTGTCAAGAGCAGCAATTTGGTTTAAGAACAGTCAAGGAAAAAACAGCTTCCTCCAGTTGGTAATATAAAGTAATTTTTCACTGCATGAGGACTACCAAAAATACTGCACATTTCACCTTTATACGAAGGTGTTTCTGTCCAGATGACTGTGAGGGGACTGAAAGGGAACAAGAAATGGGTTTGTCTTTGTGTTGTACATTTAGTGAGTATTTTTACTACTTCAGTCGTTTTCATTTATATAAATAAAACTTCTCCTTTTCCATATAAATCTCACTTCTCCCCGAGGCCTCTCTGCAAATGCAGTGACACTTCAGCAAAGGGTAATTGAAGCTGCAGCAAATTTACAACAAAATGCCATTTTTAAAGGGTGTAATGAAACATATTGCAGAGGGAGGATTTTTAAATTCACTGTATGGAAACTGATTCCCTCTAGGAATGAGAAACCTGAGGATTTAGAACTATATCACATTGGCTGCCTCTTCTTCAGCCCTGTAGGCAGTAGCTTTCCACAGTAAACTTTGGTTTCGTGTGACCATAAAACCCCTGATATTCAACAAGAGAACATCCTGAAGAGCTCAAAGAAAAAGAAAATAAATGGAGTGCACCAAAAAATCACAACAGGAATGTTTCTTGTTCCATAGCAAGATCAGCTGCTACCAAATCTTCTCCAGAGATGTCCACTCCTAATACATGCAACCTGAGCCTCACTGTAAGCTGTATAGCTGCTTTTCCCTCGTACCCTGTGCTTTCCTCTTATACCGCAAGGCAACAAGATAACAAAATGTAGTTGCAAAGAAGACATCTTGCAGAGAAGAAATAGCTTTCAGAATTTTAACAGGCTTTTTATGTTTTATATTTTCATTTTTCTGTTTTCACATAGCATTATCATTTTACAAAAGGAATCTCTGATACCTCTTTTAACCATTTAGTATTTTTGTCTAGTGCCAGCTAATTATTTTCTTAGTGGTCACATAAATCAGCAGTCATTAGCAAAAACAAGATACCAGGAATGTTGCATAATGATGTGTTATAAGATCGATGATACATTATGGTTTATGCATTTCCATTTTAATCACTCTGTATGATCAGTTGAAGTCAGTGGAAGACAAAACCAGAAATCATTTCACAATCCACTAGCTGATTTAGGAGACAATTCAAGTTTTGGGTTCAACTGCTAGACCACAACTGAAGGTAAATTTCCTGGTTGCTCAGGGTTAGCTTCCAAAATACCTTGTCAGGGAGGAAGAGAAGATTTATAGAAACTTTGTAAAAACTGAACTAGATTTTTTATCTTTATCTTTCCGAGCATATTTCATTCACAGAATTTGATAAAGTATTCTAAAGATAATGCAAAGTAAAATCTCATTTTGCTTAATGCAGTAGGTTCACTGCTACACATTATTTTTTCTTCCATTATTTTCTTTCTTTTCATCTCAAATGGAAGTAAAAAATCAAACATACCTCTCTTATCCTTTCATGATTCAACTTCTCATCTTGTTATCATACCAATTACATTAAATGCTATTCAAATTTGTGCTTTAACTTAAATGCTAGAAACTCAAAACATCAAATAAATTCTGAACTGGCAGACTTACACAGTAATTTTTCCAGAGCTGACTGTACCATCACCACAGTAGTTTTTCATTCTCTGCTGAAAGTGAAGGTGTAAGACTTTTTTCTTCCTGAGATAGACTGATTGCCTGTGTAGAGAAGTAGGTTAGTTTTCTGTAAGTTTTTATAGGAGGGTAAAGCAATGGGTGATAACACCATCCTCATTTTAATTTTCTAAAGGTTTCAGACAAAACATTCAAGAATTTTGACAGCCATTAGCAGTGGCATCTCCTTGTTCTTTCAGTTTTAGATATTTACAAAATTTGTTTTTCTCTTCTGTTTTTAGCACAAGAAGAATGGGCCTCAACCCGTTCCAGCCTAAAGGCACCACCTCCAAGGTCAGCCAGAGGGGGTTACAGGGAACACCCCTATGGTAGATATTGAAGGTCCTCCTCATCTGTGACCTCATCTCAAAGACAATTAATAGCCTGTGGTCTCCACATAAACAGCAACAAGACAAGTAATAGTCCATTTCTTTTCTATCCTAGGGATTACTGCTCATTATTATCCTATGTACTACTTGTATTTCCTATAACATTGGCGTGACATTGGCATTAGTATTATTTTATAACACGGACTTAAAAAAACAGAGACAAAAAACCTTTGGCAAACATTGTCTATAAACTATTCAAAGATGATGTTCTATTGGTTGTATTCATTGCTGTGTGTAACTTAAAAAGCATGACACTGTTACAGATCTCGAGTCTCTACATACTAGCTAAGGCTGAGTTTCTGTTTAGGGTTGCTAAAAGACTGTAATATGATTCTTTTTTTCCTTTTCTTTTTTTTTTTTTTGAACCAGACAATAATCAAGCTGTAGATAAGATGTTTAACCTGTCTTTTTTAATATATGTTAGTTTAGATTAAGATGTTCAATATTCAGTTTGTAAATTTAATTTTAAATGCTGTTTTAATGGGGTTGAAAACAAGCAGCTACTGTATGTATGTAGCTAACTGAAGTTGTTCAGTGTTTTAACCTGTATTTGTTAAAAAAATCACTTAAAGTTCCATGTGTAAGCTTCTCTAAATAGGAAACCATAATTTTGTCAAATATGTTTGCCATAATTTGTCAATAAAGCTGAAACCTTTTGTAACAAACTAAATTTGGAATTACTTGTTTTCTAGCTTTAAATGCTTGCTTTATTTCTTTTTCAAGAGATGCCTAAAATGTTTTTTATATAAAAATTACAAAAATGAACCCAAGCCTGTTTTAAGATTTTTTGTGTAAGACTTTAAAAGTTGTATTAATAACTTCTGGTTGTTAAATAATTTAAAAGTTAACAAACTAAACTGTTACATGAATCATGGTTAGTATCCACTAATGTATAACATGTTAATGGAAAAAAATGCTTTAGAACAATAAATGGATTTTAAACTATCCTTTAAGCTTGATCTTGCTAAACACAAACTCTGATTGACTTGTTTGTATTAGCATGTCTCTCGTGAGAATGTAATGGAGTTTAAAGAGGTAAGATTACCACTTACCACTGTTAGACTGTCTAAATGCTAGTTCTTCAACCTTTGAGTTTCCCCGCACATTAAATATCCCATTCAACATGTAAGCATTGCATAGATTCACCTATTTGTTTTCACTCAGAAGAGTGCGTTGACTGCATTTTTCGTAGTATATAACAATTTGTCTTGATAAACAAATCATCAGTGTCACTGCCCAGTTGTTGGTACTCAACTTCAAAAACTTTATTTGTAATTTTCAGTGCTAAATATCACCGCCCTTGAAGGCAGTTTAGAGGGCTGATATTCTTTTGAGACTATCAGACTTGATGGCTGATGATTATTAAGGAAATATGTCGCAGGACTCAAAGGATGACTAAACGTTAAACAGGTAACACTAATAGTAACTCTGTAATTTTGAGTATGCAACAGTAATGTAAAATATTCTCAGTTATTAAGTTACTGATAGTTAAAAAAGTAAACCTACCAAAAGATAACAAATAGGTATATAGGCTATTAAAACAACTAATTAACATTAACTAGTGACAACAAAATTATTCTACAATATATAACCCTCAACGTAATAAACAGAACTAAAATTAATAATAATAGTAATGCAACTCTTGCTAACAACAAATATATAACCTAAATTTTGACGAAGAAAAAAAAAAGAACGGAAGACTTGATGGTAGGGATGCCAAAACTGTTTATCCTTTAAATACAGTCTTTTTGTTTACGGTGGCTTTTTGTCAATGTGATTGGTTTACTTTTTTGATGAGACTAAAGTACAGGCCAATTGCTGTTCAGTTTGTGAACAAAATCTCTTGCAGCTGGAGTTGCATGCTAACTCTTTTTGAATAGTTTATGATGAGTATGTTTTGTCGTTTGAAGTGTTTAAGTGAATTTAGTAGGCTACATGATGGTTACACTGAGTTTATTCTGTCTCGCTGTTTCAGGGACTCACAGGCACTGGACAGCTAAGCAGCAGATCTGCTGAGAAGTGGTCAGGTAAGCTCTGCTGCATTTCAGGGGGTTTTCCTATTTCCTATTTTATCTGTGCTTTTGTTTTTACTAACAACATATTCACCAACATTTTTAAAATAAATATTTCTTTCCAGCAGTGTTTCTCTGCGTAGCAGCATAATGATTACGGTGTAATGGCAATCAAAATATTTACTTTTATATATTATGATACCTCTCACTTAAATAAAAGAAGTGTTGTCATCTAGCTTTTTAATGGTAAATACTAAGATGTTATATTTTTATAACTGCTCCTGCTAAAAACATGAGCTGCTGTTTATTAAAAGTATGTCTACATTTTGAAAACAAGCTAGTCACATAACATAAAAAAATACAACACTAGCTTATCCTTGCTTCTGAAAATATGTATCATTTCTTCCTGTGACAAATGTATCTGTATAGAGACAGGAAGTTTGTTATTTATTCTTATGCTTGGTATGTTTTTCCTTTTTTATGCTTTAGAATGGCAAGGACATTAATGGTATTACTATGCAATGGCATGGGTCAAGGCATCACTTTCTAATATTTCTCTGTTTAAATACATTTAAACATAAAGATTTGTCTTGGATGACTTTTTTAAATAGACTTCAGATTATATATGAGATTTTGGCTGAAGACAAATTTTGGCTGGAAACGAACAAAAAAATTCAGCTCAGTTACAACTTTGTCCACAGATTCAGAAGCGTAAACCTAATCACAATACAAAACCTAAAAATTCTCGTCCTCTTTCATGATTGTTAAACCAGATAAGAGTTAATAAACAAAACTGATGACGTTGTGCGCCAAATACACAATCTTAGACACATTTATTACTCTGGCATCTTTTCCCATGACTGTGGTCTGGCTGATTTAACATTTTCCAGCTATTGTGGTGTTCAATGGTTACTTACAAACCACAAGTTGTATTGTATAGCAAGATATAAAAGATTTAATTTTCCTCTCCAAAGGGTTGCCTCAAGGTTTTTATAAATTAGTTTTATTTATGTGCTGCAACCACTCTACAGGCCAGAGTGATATAACATGGAATTAAGGTTTGTCTGCATATTGCAGGCACATCAGTGTGAATGTACCACTGTAGGAGAAAGCTTCCATCTACCCACCTTGCATGTAGTTATGCAAATTTGCTTCATTCAGGGTATATCTATACAAAAAAGAAAAATACTTTCCACTCCTATAAATACATTTTCATCATACTGGTTTAACTGTGATTATAAATTACTATACATTATAGATTTTACTATATAAGTATTCCAGGAAATGCTCACATGCCTTATTGAAATGATAAATTACATAAAGCTGTGACTAGGTCATACCTGATGTGAGATCCAGGGCAAAATACATAAAACTAATTTCTCACTTGCGTATCATATTTTTATATGAGGATAACTACTGTGAACTCCTTGAGGATAGACTCCAATAAATATAGCTTTTTAGCAGAACAGCGTCCTTTAATATTCCTGTCTCCAAGTCCACTTTAAAGCCATTATTTGTGTAGATTAAAAAAATGGCAGAATGTATCAGTAAAATTATGCATTGTGAAATATTCTTATATAAGAATTATTTCGAAAAAGTAGGTTAACAATTAACAGTGTAAGCAACTGTTTTTGCAAACAGTTTTTCTATTGATTTTCAGGAAAATAGTATGAAAAATTACCCATGACTTCATGTGTTCTGTGCCAACTGCAAAGTATAGTTCACAACTGTTTCTGAAGTCTTGCAGTTAATCAGCTATGTCTTAGGAAAACAAAAATCTACCTTCTTAATTTTTGAAAAAGTAACAAGAGAGTCTGCTTATTCTAATTAACAGCTATCTTCAGGTCTTCCGTGGAACGTTGTGACATATTCCACTCATCCACCAGTCAGCTCAGCCATAATTTTGAGGTCCTGAAAATTTATGCGCATCATCAGAAAACACATAACTTCACTTATGCTGCAGATCATTCCAGGACACTAGTCACCAGTTAAACATTTTCTTTCACATACCAATTAGTTTTATTTGTAATAGGAACTAAAAACAGTATAAAATATCAAAACAATGAGTTAAAAACCACTGGAAAAGAGAGGCTGAAAAAGCAAAATCTTGTTAAAATATTCTAAGATTTTTTTTACTTTGTTTGTCCAGGTTGACCTCATCTATGGAACAGTTTGATCTTTAAAAGAAAAGAGTGCAATATAGTTTTTAGTACTTAAATCAACAAATTATATTTTAGTCTAGGAGATCTTTTGCGTGTATTCAAGAGCCATTTTAACTGCAAAAATTAGATATTGCTAAAGAAGCAACCTCTATTAGAAAATGAAGTAGCACCATGTAATTACTTCTTTCCTATTCAGCTTATCTTACTCTGTTTTAACAAAGGGCTTAAATCTTCATATGAATAAATGAAAATCTTAGGAAATTCCTGACCTCACCACAAAGGATGCTGACAATGTTTTTCTAACTCTGTGAGGTCCTCAACCTCCATTCAGAGTAACGGAGCTACAGCCATAAAGATAGGAGATCTGTCTTCTTACTCCATGTTCAGTCTGTAACCCAGCCATAATTACTCCATTATACCCAAACCTGCTGACTTCTAAACTGTATAACACTGATGTTACTGAAAGTGAATGAGTACCTGTAAAATAGGTCACTGTGTGGTAGCTCTGAAGAAATGGATGTGAACACCATGTGACTAAGCATGGCAGGCTGGAAGAACCTGTGTCTCCCTATTGCCAGAGAGCCAAACTACAGCCAGTACTGCGCTTCTGAGCTATAAGGAATTTAGTAAGGTGACCGAGTTACTGTTAGAATCATCAGTTGAAAGGCTTAACATTTTACCATAATAATATGGATTTATAGTCATGGCTAGGCTTCATGAATGAAGATTTGGGAAGGACTCTACCCACATTTTTTACAAGCGCCCTGGTGGCTAAAAAGGCCAATACGAGATAGACGAGTCCAGTTGCAAAAGGCACAGCAGAAAGACTCCTTAGGTGATATCGACAAGACACGGTTCTTTCTGCATTTCATTTCTCCTCAAGAGTGATCCTGTGTGCGTTCTCAAAAGAAGCAGCTGCGTTATAGATGGCGTGTCTCCAGGCCTCCCAATTGGAGGCCAGAGTAGACCAATTATGATGATCAATATGGCCAAGGCTAAAATGTTGTTTCAGGGAGTCCTTGTATCTCCTCTTTGGGGCTCCTCTCTTGCGGCAGCCAGTGGCAAGTTCACCATAGAGCAGGATCTTAGGGAGGCGGTCGTCCTTCATCCTTGAGACGTGCCCTGCCCAGCGCAGCTGTGTTCTCATCAACATGCCCTCAATACTTGTGACTGCTGCTTGTTCTAGAACAGATGTATTGGTCACATAATCTGACCAGTCGATGTTTAGGATTGTGCGGAGGTAGCGTTGATGGAAGCGTTCTAGGAGAGGCAGGTGGTGGCAGTAGATGACCCATGATTCAGATCCATATAAAAGAGTAGACAGCACTATGGTTCTATAAACACTGATCTTTGTACTTTTCTTCAGGTGTTTATTTCACCAAACTCTTTTATGGAGTTTTTGAAAAGCTCTATATGCCTTTGCTAACCTGTTGTCTATCTCTCTGTCAATCTTACCATCCGAGGAGATGATGCTACCTAGGTAATTAAACTGCTGGACTGATTTGAGTTCTGATTGGCCAATGGTGATATGGGGATGAAGGAAGACTTCCTGAGGTGCAGGTTGATAGAGAACTTCTGTCTTCTTTAAGCTGACTTCCAGCCCAAAAAGCACAGCAGCATCTGCAAAGCAGGATGTTAAACGCTGCAGAGATACTTCTGTGTGGGCGATGAGGGCAGCGGCGTCAGCATAAAGCAGCTCATGGAGAAGATGATTTAAGGTCTTAGTATGAGCCTTCAGTTGCCTTAGGTTAAATAGGCTTCCATCGGTGCGATATCGAATGTAGATACCATCTTCTTCATCGAGGTCTGCTGTGGCCCTTTGGAGCATCATGCTGAAAAAGATTGCGAATAGAGTTGGTGCAAGAACGCAGCCTTGTTTCACACCATTAGTTATTAGAAAGGGCTCAGAAAGTGCATCACCATATCTGACTTGGCCGTGCTGATCCTCATGGAGTGAGATGATCATTTTAAGGAACTTGGGGGGCAACCTAAATGTTCCAAAATCTTCCATAGACCTTTTCTGCTCACAGTATCAAAAGCCTTGGTGAGGTCAACAAAGGCTACATAGAGACCTTTGTTCTGTTCCCTACATTTCTCTTGCAGTTGTCTGAGAACAAATACCATGTCTGTGGTACTCCTGTTGGCTCTGAAACTACACTGGCTTTCAGGTAGAAGTTCTTCTTCTATAGTGGATACTAGTCTGTTCAAAAGTATTCTTGCAAGGATTTTGCCAGCAATGTTCTCATGAAATATCACCCAGGATTATTATCTTAAGGTTAAAATCAAGAACACGTAAATTATGCATTGTGTTCAAATAAAAAAAATTTGGTCTACATTAGTGATGTATTTCCTTCATGTTTGACAGTAGGAGTGTTGTTTTGTGAACCATCTTTCTCAGAAGTCCAAAGTTTTGCAACAAATATCACAACTACAAAATTTTAAATGGAAGTAAAGGAGAGTCATAGAATAAGCTAAACATTGGAAAGAAGAAGTCTTTGTTAATGTCTGAAAGAAGTATATGATCTATTAAGGAAAGGAAGTCCTAGAACATTTTCCATATTGTATTGCATTAAAATGCAGAAAATATTGTATTGCATAAAATGCAGAAAATGTTAAGTCAAGATGGTATAAAGGTTGAGTAGGCACAGCACTGGTTATCAGTGTTATTGATGCAACCTTGTTAGAGATACGTCATGTTATGTAAAGTTACTGGTACACTGGTACATTTCCTGTAATTTCTTTTGTGAAAGAAATACCAAATCTAAACAAGATTATAATCTCTTTACGCAATCTATTTACTACAATGTTTTAGCAAAGATATTAAAGAAAATAGTAATTTTTTTCCATAAGTATTACCTGAATTCTTTTATAGTGCTGTAGATCTTCAATAAATGGTTTTAAGATTGCAAGAAGATAAACTGGTTTGGGGAAAAAATTTCATAGAGTCAGAATCATAGGTTATAAATTAATCTTATGTGACAAAGAACCAACTTATCCCTATATCAGAATGTATGAATTTTTAGGATTCAGGAGGACAGAGTCTATTTGTAGTGCATTTTTTCTAAGGTAGGATTAAAAAAAAACTCATTTCACTAAGACATTACAAAGTTTTTGCACAAAAAGAAAGGCCATAGTTGAAAGGGCTGGCTGTAATTAATGCCCAAAAAATAAAGATTACATTTGTTATTATTTCAAGTCGTCCTCTGTTGTCAACAGATAAATCAAAGTACAAAAAGAACCCTAATTAACATGTAAAATCACCGGAAAAACTGAAAACAAAGAAAACAATCCTAGTGTCTTCTGAAGTTTTTTTGTCCTCCAAAAATCTTCGATGCACTCTGTGACTCTGTCAGTTATTCAAACTCAAGAGTTATCAGAAAAAGTATCATGTGTTATCAGTTTTACTGTACTGATCTGTGGAGACAGAACAGCCACATAGGTAACTCTCAAACCAATTATGGCTTTAAAGATGATCACCATCTTCCATTATGTTGTTAGCTAATTAAATTTTTCTAGTCATTACTGTTTATCATTGAGACCTGACAAAAACCTTTGAAATCATTAAGCCTTTGCTTTTTCTTCAGCTGGTTTTGTTTCTGGTCCTGTAGGCCAGATGCTAACATCCATTTAGAGACTTTAAGGAAAATTATTCCCACTGAAAGATTTGCTGACCTACGTACTTATTAGACAAATCATGAGCTTCGCTCATGAATATGCTGATATCTTTTAGTGAAGACATACTGTATACAATATTTATGTTCTGAGACTATGGAATCTGAAGACTAACTGTGCCTGCCAGTATGAGTACGGGAAAGATTAGTCAACCTCTGGTTGACTAAATAATTTGTATTATAACCCAACATTATAACATGTTGAAATAAATCTCTAAATCATGCATATCTGGAACATAGTTTTCATTCTCAAAGAGAAGCAATTTCTGTCAACGTAAGCATAAGAAATGCAGATTTCTAAACTTCTACTAAAAACATGTCTCTGTTTTAAAAGTTTGTTTTGCTTATATAAATCCTATTAAAAGGTTGTGTTTGGTACTTATTGAAAGGCATAAATGCCTCCTTGCCTAAAATAGTTGAATTAACTTTGAAACTTCAGATGCTTTAGCAGAGAATAGCAAAATTTATTGAGAACAGAATTGCAGGCTTTCATATTTTAAATCTGTAAATCAGAAGGAAGGTTTATTGGAGGGAGATCATACCCATGGTGTAATGGTATAGGTCATCATTCACATATTAAAAGGAAAAATATTAAAGAAAAGTATGTGTAGTTGATTGTGTAAATCCGTCATGTGCCCAAAGAATGTTTCAAGTTGTTGTATGGAAACAATCAGAACTTTCTAATATCTTTTAGCAACATTTGGGTGTACAAGTAGAATACTAGAAATGCTTCAATGCTCTAATAAGAAAAGAATTAATTATGAAAACAATATTTCCTGTTTATTTCTGTTGCTGCTGTATTTTATTGATTTAATGGAGGTATAGTTTCTTGTTATACAGTGTTATTATATAGTGTGAGAGTACCTGCTTATATCACGTTTGGCACTGTTTTTGCCATGCAGGATGCATTAGCTCATGATGGATGGCTTCCTCACAGAAAAACAATGAATACCTTTGTTACATGCCCTTGCATTACAGGACCTTCACACTGTGTTACCACCAAGTCAGAGGTACAAACTGCTGAGCTGCTCATATATGACTTAGCATTCTGTGTGGGTTTTCTTCATTTACTTCTGCATGGAAAACAGAAAAAAGTATGCACATATTTTGTATTGTGGTTTACTGTATTCATTTATAACTCCATATTCATTGCTCAGCTAATAATTCATTATATTTCTTCTTGAACTTTAGAACAATCCTGTACAACCAGTGGCACAATTCAGTGAAACGGTGTAGTGGGTTGATCCTGGCTGGTCGCCAGGTACCCACCAAAGTCGCCCTATCATCCCCTCTGCAACTGGACAGAGGAGAGTAAATATAACAAAGGATTCATGAGCTGAGATAAGAACTGGGAGAGATCACTCACTGATCACTGTCACAGGCAAAACAGACTTGAAGTGGGGATATTAATTAAATTTATTACTGACACGATCAGAGAAGGAAAATGAGAAGTAAAATACATCTTAAAAACACCTGCCCCCCACCCCTCTCTCCTTCCCAAGTTCTACCTACTCTGCCCACAGCGGCATAGGGAGACGAGAAGTGGGGGTTACGGTCAGTTCACCACAAGTTGTTTCTGCCTTTCTGCTGCTGCTTGGGGAGGGGAGACCTTTCTCTGCTCCACCATGGTCTCCCTCCCACAGAAGAGTTCTTCTCCAGCATGAGTCCAGCCCACGGGCAACAGTTCTTCACAAATTGCTGCAATGTGGGTCACTTTTCCACAGGGTGCAGTCCTTCAGGCACAGACTGTTCCAATGTGGGTCCCCCACAGGGCCACAAGTCCTACCTGCAAACCTGCTCCAGTATGGTCTCTTCTCTCCGTGGGTCAGTAGACCGCTGCCAGGACCCTACTCCAGCATGGGCCTCCCATGGGGTCACAACCTCCTTTGGGCACCCACCTGCTCTGGTGTGGGTCTCCTCCATGGGCTGCAGGTGGATCCTTGCACCCCTGTGGTCCTCCATGGGCTGCAGGGGGACAACCTGCTTCACCATGGTCTGCACCACGGGCTGCAGGGGGACAACCTGCTTCACCATGGTCTGCACCACGGGCTGCAGGGAAACCTCAGCTCCAACGCCTGGAGCACCTCCTCCCCCTCCTTCACTACTGGCCTTGGTGTTTGCACTGTTGTTCACATGTTCTCACTCCACTCTTCTCTAGCTGCAGTTTTCATCTGCCCAATAACTTTTTTTTTCACCCTTCTTAAATACATTATCACAGAGACATTACTATCATTCCTGATGGGCTCGGCCTTGGCCAGCGATGGGTCCGTCCTGGACTCTGCAGGACACAGGAGAAGCTTCAAGCAGCTTCTCACAGAAGCCACCCCTGTCAACCCCTTCTGCTACCAAAACCTGGCCAGACAAACCCAACACCCTTGCATATGCTGCTTCTTTCTTTTAATTTTTCTCTTTCTTTTTCCTCTTCCCATATACCTACTTTAGCTGAAAAGATAATCAAGGACACTGTCATTCAAATGAAATGCTACTACCCTCTGATAATATAGGAATTCAGTTTAGTATTCTCTGAGTATTTAAAACTGATAGGGTTCTTTTTCTTATTCTGTATAGTATTTTGAGAATTATATATGTTTTTAATATCTCTTTTTGAATTCATGATGTAAAGATGCAAACAACTGACAGGAATGTTACATGATGTTGAATTCCAGTTAAGCAAAGCAGGTTTCTGAAGGAGAATTTAATCCTGCAGATTTTACTCAGGTTTCATTTACTAAAAATCCATGCTGACATCAAGAAATGAAAAGGGAATATTAAATTCAGAATGTGATCTGCAGTCATTTTTATTATTTAATTAAATTCAAACAGAACACATTCCTGTAAAGGACTGTATTGCATCATTCTAGCCCATGTCCTGCTTAACTGACAGTGTGAAATAATCTTGATCTTCAGGAAGAGTACTTCAGTTACAGTACCAACATTAGGATTCTACTTTTTATATCATCATAACTAATTTTCCCATGTGAAAGGAAATTATTTAGTTGAAGGTCTTGGGACTGTCACCCACTCCAAATCTCAACCTGGCAATCAAGTTCATCCATCCATGGTAGTCATCATTTTATTTTCATAACAACTAAGTTTCTGAAGGAGGCACAATACTTTCCTTTACATAGTCTTTAATGACAGTGTTACTGAACTTGTTTGCAGATCTAAGGAAAAATGGGTCATCCACTAGACTGTGAAGGTCTGTGGAGTACGTGCTTTAGGAAATCTAGTGCTCATTCAAAAGAGTTATTGTAACCCCAAAAATACTGCATAGTTCTTAGAAAGCTTAAATAGCACCTACAGAGCTTAGAAGAAAATTTCTGCATAGAACTCTGCTTAATGAAGGCAGTAGATATTTTAATCTCTGCCTTATAATGGAGAATTAGAAAAATAATGAAGCTGAATTATTTACTAAGGTTACTCAGCAGGTCAAAGTGACATAATAAAGTGCAATTAGCAAAGGAGCAGGTTTGCTAGTAAGAAGCTGCATCAGGAAATGAAACACAGGACATATTCAGAACTGTGGTTTGTTGTGAGAACTGAACTCCCTTGTCTATCATGCAGATGTACTATTATCACTTGGCACCTGCTGGACTTTACCAGGCAACTGGATGAAGCAGCAGAATGTGTGTGTGTAGGGAATATACATACATACATATGTCAGATTTATATTCAAGAAGTGTTATTATCTTCAACCCTTTGCATTATAACTCTGTTTTTCTATAGCTGCATCAACTGTTGCCATGGTAAGTTTCTCACACTGTATGTCTTTGATGAAGAAGAAATACATCTCTAAATACTCATAAGGGCTTGAGACTCCTGGTGATACCTGATGTCCTCCCTATAGCACTGAACACATTGGGATTAAACCCTAAAAACCTACATATTCTGAAATTTTATAGTGCTGACAGTTCTAGAAATAACAGAAGTTCTATTTTAGACCGTTTTAGGGATAATTTTAGATTCAGAGTTGTTTGGGTTTTACTACTTTGAAGTCTGCTAGGATAAATTAATGGAAATAAGGCATCTGACTTTGTAATACCTAGTCAACCAAAAATAACCCTAAGAATATGTTTAAGGATCTAGAAAACTGTGTTAGTTTTTTTTAATATGAAAACATTTTATACCAAGTTCTTCATCTGGACTTATGTGGATGACTCATTTTCATTCACAGCTCTCATAGATAAAATACGGAACCCCAAAACAAGCTATACAACTTTAATCTGTCATGCCTCCATTTCTCTCATTTATCTTGTAAATATACTCTTGGCAGGGCTGGTAATTTTAGCTACCATTGAGATAACCAGTATAGTCTGTAAATGCAACTGTGTCCACTTCAAATTAAATTATCCATGATGACTATCTGCTCAATCTAAGGATTTTGGATGCTAAACAGTTGAGAAAAATAAAAGATTTTGGGAATTTACAAAATAATAAAAGTTCCTTTTTTGTTATCAAATGACTGTGAAAGTATATTGCAAAATATGTGCCACAATGCACTCGAAGGCTGGTTTCTCATGCATAAGAGAATAAGAACTCCCTTCCTTTGTCAGATCTGACCAGTATCCTAACCAGTATCTTTTTTCTGTCAGATCCAGAAATGGATGTTTGGGGTGCATGGTGGAGGGGTTAGGGGAAATACATAGAACAAGTAGAAGCTCTGCTGTATTAGCAAATTAACACCAGACTGGTTCTATCTCAGACTTGTTTTCCCAGTGCCCGTCTTTTTAACTCCACTGTCTTGCCTAATGTACAAATAGATGTCTGTGATAGTAATGTATAAAAGTTGTGTGTCCAAATGAGCTTTTATCCATAGAACCACTGGCTGACATTCCCAGGTGCTGGGGTCTGCAGTGATTTGCGTTACAAGAAAAGTGGGGGGTGTTTAATGACCAAATAACTGAGTTTGACTAAAGCCGAGGAATGGATTATATTATCCTTCAGCATATCTACCAGCAGAATTTTGTGTGAGGCAAATTGCTCAAAGTAAAAGCCTGCTAATGCTGTATTTCTTGTTTTCTTGAGGTCTTACAGAAAATCTTAGGATCTGATTTTCATCAGAGTTACAAGTGGCATCACAGGAGTTTTTCCTGACTGTGCAAAGTGCTGTTTAAGGTTAGGTGCAAGCATTGGGTTTCCCAGGGTATGTAACAGTGGGGAATGTTTTATTTTAACTCAGAAATGTAATAAAATATTAGTCACACTAATGAGGTATTGACATACTATAGCCACAAGTGACCAGAAAACCAACTGCAAAATTCATAATTTTGTCAAGAAAAATTAAAGATTTGAATAGAGTTAAGCAATTAATAAAGGAGTAACACATTGAATAATGAAAATAAAAGAAATATTGAATGTTTTTCAGTGCCCTTTCTTATACATGAAATTAAGCAGGAAAAAAATATAACTTAACCATTGTAGACTCAATGGTTGAAACAAAAAAAAGAATAAAACCAAAATTTACCTCAACCACTGACTACATCGAATGTATACATGAAAAGACCTGAATTAGGGTTTCACTGGCTTGTAACTGGTATTTAACTAACTTCACAGTGCTTGGCTTGCTTTAACCATTTATTTTGCAAGCCTGATATTTATACCTACCTAATATTTTCCATCAAGGAAAAGTTTATGGAAAGTTTTACATAATTTGCAAATTGAAAATTCCTGTATCAGAAATTTGCTTAGGGTATGAGGAATTCTCCTGAGAGTCCTAAAAATTATTTTCTGATTCTTTCCTGAAAATCTGTTTGGTTTGGAGAATATCATGAGACATCCACAAAGTTGTTGTTTACCGACTCAGTAAACTTGCTAGAAGCAGTAAAAAAATGTGTGTGTTCCCCTTCCCCACTGATGAGATTTTTTTTCTTCTATGCGAAGTTACCTTAGTGTGACAGTTGGGGAAGTATTGAGCACATTCATCATCTAACTTCAAATACCTAGCTTTTGCCACTGTGGGTACTTAGGGTACCTATGCATTCAGTGGAGTGAAATTTGCTTACAGAAAATAATTCAGAGTACCTTAGCCAGGTATCTGGATGTAGACAAGTACACAAGTCTCCATTGGCTGGCTGAAAAGACTAACTAACGTGTTTAAAAAAAATACCTCCCTCCTCAGCCTTAATCTTCAAATTATCTCTTGATTCATTGATTTTAATAAGAACTGATTTTAATTAGTCTTTCATAGACCCATTTTTGTTAATATTAACAAGAAATGAAACTCCAACCCAACTTGTCCTCACAAGTTCCCATTCTCATCCATACCAGCATTCAGAATTCATTTACTCAGGATGAATATAATTATTCTACTGTATTATCTGCATAGTGTTGGTATTCACACAATTCACTACCACAAACCTCCTTTTTTGTTACACTGTTCAAAGCATACTCATACTACCGTGCATGGACCATGGGCCTTCATCTCAAGTAGATTGCAGGTGCAGAAAAGGTATTGAGGCAACACCTGATGAATTTGTAGCAGTACAAAAATTAAGAACTTAAATGAGAAAGCTAGGATAAAATTATAGCTAAAGTTTCATACAGTAACTTTACAAAAAGGTTCAAAAAGTTAAAAAATAAAAAAAAAGTAGAAATACCAGTTTTAGTTTAGTTTTCTCCTTTCCTTTCTTTTTTGCTCTGCTGTGTACACTCATCATTTCAGAGACCCTAAAGAGGTGATCACATGCTCTCCCATTCTACTTGCAGGGCATAGGAATGTGTTAGAACTGTGTAGAAAATCCTGTTGTTATTTTTTGTAACTGCTTTATCTCATAGCATGCAGAACTTGGAAGGCAATGTCTTCCCAGAGTTTTCTGTCATCCAAACTATCCCTGTGTCACAGAGATGCTGTGTGAAGCTACATAAGTAATTTAAGCTAAAATATTAATGCAACAACTAATTTTATGTTTTTCATTGAATATGTCTGCCCAACTTTATCTTGATTTTCAGATTTTTGGAGCCTTAGGGAAGTACTGTACCTTTTGAATGGTGTTCAGGGAACTGAGAGTGCTCAACATCATTTGCAATAAATCACTCTGTTCTGAAGGACTGAACCTCAGGTTGGGACTCTCCACAGCCCTGAGTTCTGGACCTCAGGCTACCACTCAGACTTAAAGTGATCTTCCAGTCTATCAGGTGAGCTGTGGTATTTTTCTATATATTTTTAGTTTATTTCAAATATGATGTAATTAGATCACCTCAATCTGCAAAAAATAGGATTATTTTAAACTAGTTCTCATTACATTTGCCATTGGAAAAGAGCTCATACAGAGATATACCTGTGGTGCATGTTACTTTGAGACAGGATAATGCATCTAAGTTCTTACACTCTTTTTCGGTCATAGAGAAATATAATCTTTAATAATCTTTCTCACAGAAGTAAACTATATTTGTACAGTATGTTGAACATACAAATAGTTTTAAAAAAGTGAAATATTTGAAGAAATCATCTCCACTTGTTATGAGTTAGCTCATTGAGAAGGTCATGTTAAAACCAGATTTTGCAGATTCTGGGTTTTTTTGGTCTGTTCTCCACTTGTTCATCTATGAAAATATTGATATCTTCACTGCACTACTGTGAACATACATTTATTAATGTTTATAGGGTTCATTTACTGTAACACTGTTGCAACAAAATATGGACAATGAAAATCTGTAAGACATTAAATAAATCTACACCAGCAACTATTTGGATGAAAAAGAATAAACAAAAAAGAGTCAGACCACTAGAGTGTAAGACAGATACAAATATTTAATTCAGTCTTATATCCAGAATGAGTTAGGTCTTGTGGAGAGAAGGGTAGGAAGGCATCCTGTAATTAAAGTCTATGTCCTCCTGTATATACTAAAGAAAATCATCTAATTATATTGGAAATTATAAATCTAGCATTTCCTAAATCTTCCATACTAAATACTGCATTGTATTTTTCTAACATAAGTTTATATAGAGACATAATGTCATACAAAAATACAATTATTGCATTTAGTTATTAGAAATGAGCTTGTTTCTTCAGCAAACAGCTTGTGAAACAAAAGACCATTGTCAGCCTTTGTTCTTGGTAGAGAGTGACATCTAGAAGGTTTCAGCTGACTAACAAAATTAATATCAATAGCTAATGTGGAGTTACACTGCAGCTGTACACAGCTTCACTTCCTATACCTCAGGCACCTCCACAATCCTTTCCTTGCTCCTCCTGACCGCATACCAGAAAACAGACCTGAAGCTTAGTCTGCACTGCAGAGCAGCATGAAGCCCTCATGTAGAACCCAATTCCCTGTCATCATGTGTTCTGAAAGTGGTGACACTTTTTTTGCCCACACTATTTTTGGATTTGCTCTTGCAAATGGTGATATTTTAAACTATGCCCTGCTTTAGATGTAGATTTTTGTCTGCAGCAAAAGAGCTAAAAGAATGCAGCCAAAAGCTATTCAAGCCTAACATGATTCTAGACTGAGGAAAAAAAAAAAAATCAGTGTATTTTTCAAGATTCCTTCTCCTAGCTAGAGCTGAAAATAAACCCTAGGTGACAGTATTCACACTCCACTTTTAAGTAGGCTGTGAGTGAGATAAGAAATAGGTAGAATATGCAGGTTTCTTAAGGGTTTACTTAGATTATAGTTAAATCTGTTAACACTTTGTAAATAGTAATCTAGGGCTCTTAGAAATATTTTTATTTATTATTATTTGTGCTTTGCACATGGCAAATGGGAAGGGGGAAGCTGTTTGTTTTCTATCACACAGAATGCTGTTCATCAGAACTAAAATACCTTTACTTAGAGCCCAAACTCCTAACAATTGGACTAAGTTTCCTAAGATGGTTTCCAATTAGGACTTGTGTTCTTGTTAGTATTCTTGGAAACTTGAGAGTAGTGATTCTTTTTCAGTTGGTAACTACAGGTTTAAATAAGTGATAAAGTGTTCCAGAAGTTGGGAGACCCTGCTAGGTTTCTAGAAGTTTAACAAAAATCTATAGAGGAAGAAAGGGAAGTCTCGATTTTTCCACATCCTGAGCAAGCCAGGACTTCATAGCAAAATACCAAGGTTCATCTGATTCCATGACTTCCTTGCGTTTTCTGATTTTCTTGTTTTTCAGCTGTATATGTGTATACGTGTGTGTGTGTGTGTGTATATATATGCACATATACTCAATTCTGGTCCAAAGGACAATTTAGCCCCTTTTCAGGTATGTGTCAAAAAAACCAAATGGGATGAAACTCCCTCCACTGTTTATAAAATGTGACTAAATACCTAGTGTTGACTATGTAGCTGTCTTTTAGGTAACTGAGATTGGGTGAAGTTAATCGCAACCTTAATAATTAAACTCCTAAGGGACAAAAGTTTTAAATTACAGTTGGGGGAGCTACTTTCATTAAAAGGTACAGATTGTGTGTATCATGTCATATCATATAATTAATCAAATTGTGTTAAAACTGAAAGAACACAAGGCTTGACACATATGCTAGTCTTTGGAGTTTGAGATAAGCCTGTTCTGTGCCCAGTGCTCTGTTGTGTAGCAAGAGGTTGAAAAGTGGGCATAGAGAAGCACAGCCCAATGCACAAGAGCTTTGCACAGACCATTCAAGGCTTCACTTTGAGCTCCCCGTGTGCAGCATTCACCTCATGGAAACTGTCCTATGGAGTTTCCTAGAAGTGGGTTTTCTGTACTTCTGTAACCTTTGCTAATTCTTTCCTCCACTGGTTTTGTTGTTGAATTGTTTGTTTAGTAAAATGTTTGTCTAGGAGAAGGCACTTCTGTTGATAACCTTCAACATTTTCAACAGGTAGATCAGACATTTCCATCTGTATCTGAGCATTGAAGACATACTTCTGTTTTCAGAAGCACTGACAACCTTCAGGTTTCACTAGCCTTAACTTCAGGTTCTCAAAAATCAGGAGTCGTCACTGGCATGCAAGATCTACATGTCCTGACCCAAAACATATTTTTTGTACTTCTCGTCTTGCATCTTTATACAGATGGATAAAGATATATAAAGACATATCATTATACTGTGGAAATTAATATATTATAGATTTTGAGACAGCCAGCTGGTATGAATGAAAGCCAGAGAACTACTGAAGATGCATATATTACACTAATGTTTTACTAATATCTGGAATTGCAGCTGAAGTGAACCTCCTTTATTTTCCTAAAAGCATCCCTAAAGACTGGGATATGTTGCTGTACTCTTACACTATAGTGAGGATCTCCAAAATCAGGTAAGTAAATGAGGAGATAAATTATATAAGTATATGCATTTTTTCTCAAGATAGATAAAATTAAATGTAGGAGAATACTCAGCCTGAAGCTAATAGACATAAGACACTGTGAACCATACTAGTAATAAAGATATTAAGGTGCCAGTTATTCCAAGACCTTACTGGCAAGTTCTGTAGGTACAGATGTAACATGTAAGTTTGAGTAACTAATCTCTCCTTGTAACACTGCTACAGTTTAGTCAGGGCTGAATCTAGCCTTTAGGCTGTGTCCTGAACTCTCTCTTCTCTCAAAGTCAAATATTTTTAGCTTTTATTGACCTAACCAGCTGACTCCGCTCAGCATTTGTTTTTGGTCAAATGCACTTCTCCCCTCTACATCTAAACTGACTGACCAAAGAAGTTGTGTTCTTCAGACATGAAATGAATTTTTATTACTGAAGTCCACAGTGCAGATCATTGGAAGTTATGTAATAATGTGAAAGGACATATAATTGAAAGGCTGTCAGAAGATGAAAGTGTATTAAGCTTCCCAGAGCATTCACATTTGCAACTCATAAAGCCTGATGACACTGAAAAAGCAATTCAGTGTTTAATGCATGCACCTCTGGTGGCAGCGCTCCTCCTTAGCGCTGGCTGTTGAAATATCACAGTCTGTAGCATAGGATTTAATACAGGAGTTTTCCATTAAAGATGTTAGCTGTTGCAGTTCGCAATAACTTCTAGCTCAGCTCACCTGCTGGGGACACAGTACTTTGTCCTTGAGTAAGCAGGATTTCTTTCATCCTATTCTTCTCACTGGAGCAGAGAGGAAGTAGAGTGTGAGTACACATGGAGCAATGTACAACAAGGGAGTAACTGCAATACAGGCATATATTATTATTGGATTTAAATGTGAAGCAATAATACATATGAAATAAAAGTAAGTCTGTAACTATCCTGACATTCTCCTAAATGTGCAGTAAAACAAATAATAAATAATAAATAATAAAACTGTAGGTTACACTAATCAAATTCAAATCAGTTCAACTGCATAATTTTCAGTGAAGAGGTGCTTATGAAACACAGAATAAACTGCAGAAGGGAAGGTTCATTGCTTCCTAATCAAAAGCAGTCAGCTTTAAACACCAGCCAGTCAGGTGATAGGTTTGTCATTTCTCAGCTGTGCTCTTGGAGGGAATTTGCCAAGAAGGCTTGACAGCCTTTAAACTTTGCAGAGCATTTTTTTGCCTGTTTCTGAACATCATGTTGATCTACAAAAACTCCTGGGAGACTGGGAGGAGAGGCAGAGTAACAGCAGTTCTATTAAAATATATTTGCTGCAATGAATGTCAATCAGAGTTTATAGTGTGAAAAAATGTGCATTTTCAGAAGAGAAATTTTCACCACCCCTCAGGTCTAATTCTTTCTTGTCTAATTCTGTCCAGCTACTCTGGGGGACTGAGGAGTGTCAATCATTAATTGCCTGAGTGTCAGAGAAGTAAAGGCTTGTAATGCATCACTAAAAGTCAGAAATCAGGGTGTCTGAATTATGATGGGAAGCTTTAAATTCATATATTACTGCTACATACAATTAACAGCCCAAGCCCAAAATCATTTACTTTCATAATGCAGAACAATGACAGCTCTCCAGTAAAAACATATTTACAGTAGTTTTACATTGCTTTCTAGAGGTTTCATGCAAAAGAGAGAGACAAAAAATATGCACCAAGGCAGTTACAGAGAACCCTGTCTTTGTACTGTTCTTTCCTTTTAATCAGCATGAGCTTTGCTAAATAGGGGAAAGAATTATGAGTAGGTAGCAAGCATCTAGGTTACTGAGGGCAAATTACTCTCAGAGGAATCACTTTGCAATTTGAGCAACAGAGTCTGGCCTTTACATGACTTAAGATGAACAGGTCTTCTCTGTTTTAACCCAGCAGGAACACCAATTGCAAGGCAGCCAACCTGAAGTCCCTCAGCCACCTTTCCTTACATGAACAGAAGGTCTGTTCTCCCTTCCCCTGGCAGTTATACCACTGTGCTGGAAGAATTTTCTGCTGTCTTCTATTTCTATTTTCTAATGTCTTTTTAATGTCTTTTTAGTCTCTTCTGTTTCACATTCTCAAGTGTGGGACCTTACAGATGTTGTAGTAGTTTTTGGTATTGGTTGAAGTCCCATTAAGCTTCTGAAGTTCTTAAATTGCTTCTTGGAGGGTTTGGGGGGTTTTTTTTCATGTAACTTAGGTTATAAAAGTAGCACCATAAACATTAATTGAAGAGCCATTAAGCAGTATGGCTGTTTGTTTTGGGTTGATAGAGGACATAAAGCTTCATACCCTGTGGTGGAAAACAATTAGATCTGATGATGAACATGCTATTAAATATACCATTACCAGACTTCTATCAGTTTAACTTTAGAAAATAGCAACCAGCTGTAGCCAAAGCATACACAAGTGATAGAAAGTCATATTTTAATATGACTGTTATAAATATTGTCTTTTCTAATGTTTTATGCTAATGACAGTGACTAATAGTAGTCATTACCTCCATTCATTCTCATAAAAATTTCCTCGAGAGGATGATCACAACTGGAATGCTGTTTAAAATAAACCATTTTTCTAAAATAGAGAACATAAAAAACATTTAAATACCAAGAGGTTGGCTAGCTAATTTATTTTTTAATAGCATGTGTTCAACAACTACAGCTTTTGTTAATCGTGCTATCAGTTGAACAGATATTCCTTTCAGAAACATTTTTGGCATACTAACGTGTGTACATGTCATGTCTTCATATGGTCTCTGAAGAGTGGGATAAAAGGTGAATCTTATAGAGGCCAGAAAAAAAGTCTGATGCTACCCCTGTAGAGGCTTAATATTAAGAACATTGAATTTCCTCATCCATTTCTTATTTCAGTTATGAATTCTGCTTACTTGACAGGTACAGAGTACTTCATTATGTGCATGAACAGAAATGCTTAAATGGATGAAGCAGCTATTTACGTCTGATAGGAGCTAAGTGGGACATTAAATTAATGCCAAACAAGTGAGTGCTCATTTTAGTTTTGTTATAAATGGCTGCAGCACAGCAGTAATGTGTTGACTCTCATGTGCTGACAAGTTCTATATTTCTTACAAACTTCCCTTAGAGCTCGATGTGGAAAGACAAATTCACACTCTGCATGATGAAATTAGCAGCAGATGCATTAATAATTGAATAAGGATCTCTGGAGATATACCACAGTTCAGAAGGAGAGTTGTTGCCAGGCTGGTTTAAGTAGAGGCTTCTGTCATATGCATATGTCATATACATAAGCTCTGAGTTAAGAGCTGCTGCCTCTATGTAGCCTTTGGTATCAAATCCGCTTCCTGCTTTTAGAAGACTTTGCATAGTTACATTTGACAGGTCCATGAGTAGACTTGACAACCATTAATTTGGGCAGAGTATGCCCTTGCTCATCCCTCCTTCCTCTCTGACTATCCTGAAACATAGGGGCAAATTCAACACAGTTCCTTCTGGATTTGTCTCCAGACAAGGAATGGGGTATGAGTGACTGAAAGACTTTCACTGTATGCCAGACTCTTGCATTAGACCTCCATTCTTGTAGGGTTGAAAGTTTCCTGAAGTGCAGATCTCAGCTTCTCTCACAAAAGGATTAGGCCAATGGCATCCTGACCTGTATCAGGAACAGTGTGGCCAACAGGTCCAGGAAAGTGATTCTTCCCCTGTACTCAGCACTGGTGAGGCCACACCTGGAGTACTGTGTCCAGTTCTGGGCCCCTCAGTTCAGGAAGGACATTGAGGTGCTGGAGCAGGTCCAGAGAAGAGCAATGAGGCTGGGGAAGGGACTCGAGCACAAGTCCTATGAGGAGAGGCTGAGGGAGCTGGGGTTGTTCAGCCTGGAGAAGAGGAGGCTCAGGGGAGACCTCATCACTCTCTACAACTACCTGAAAGGAGGTTGTAGCCAGGTAGGCATCAGTCTCTTCTCCCAGACAACCATCAGTAAGACAAAAGGGCATGGTCTTAAGCTCTGCCAGGGGAGGTTTAGGTTAGATAGTAGGAAGAATTTCTTTACAGAGAGGGTAATCAGGCATTGAAATGGGCTGCCCAGGGAAGTGGTGGATTTACCATCCCTGGAGGTTTTAAGATGAGACTGGATGTGGCACTTAGTGCCATGGTCTAGTAACCATGGTGGTAGTGGATCAAGGGTTGGACTTGATGATCTCGGAGGTCCCTTCCAACTCAGCTGATTCTATGATTCTGTACCATACTTCCGTCTTCCTTTCCAGCAAAGGTGATCTCCTTTGATTTGGGAGGTTTGGGAAGGAAGGAATTTCACAGAATCACAGAATGGGTAAGGTTGGAAGGCACTGCGGTGAGTCATCTGATCCAACCTCCCTGCTCAAGCAGGGTTGTCCTAGAGCACATTGCGCAGAGGAGCCCAGAACCGGACACAGCACTCCGGGTGAGGCCTCACCAGGGCTGAGTAGAGGGGCAGGATCAGCTCCCTCAACCTCCTGGCAATGCTTTTCCTAATGCACTCCAGGTTACTATTGGCCTTCTTGGCCACATGAGCACACTGCTGACTCAGTTTGAGTCTTTTTGACAATAGTGAAGAAAACAAGAGGATTGCCAGAAAAAAACTCTGCTTTTTAAAGATACCACCAAGGCCAGCCACGATGAAATCCCTGATAGTTACATTGTGATCACTCCTAACACCAAGTAATATTATGCTCAGAAGATATTGACAAAGCAGTGTGACATTTCATACACAACACTACTATTGGAGCAAATTCTCGTGGGTTTAAAATCAGAACTTTATTGTACTAGCGCCAAGAGAGTAATAGCAATTTGAATAGTCTGAAAAATTGTCCCAGTTAGAAGAAGAGTGGCAAATTTTAGCACACTGTTACTGTACTAACTCCGCATAGCTCTCCCAACTATCCATGCAGACTTCAGCCGCTGGTTTGGTCTGCACAGGTTGAAGTGAATTCTATGTTTTGCTTTCCTCCAGTTACAGGTTATTATATAAATCTCAGGATCAAGAAGACAGAAAAAAATAGCTTAAAATAAATATCAGTGTATTGTATGGAGTTTCATCCTAAAGGAAAGCTAATTGTAATCTTAGGTTTTTTAATATATTGCAATATTTTGCATAAGCTACCATATGATTTAATAAAGTGGTACTGTCTTTAAAACAATACTCAAGACTCAATTGTCTTTAAAACAATATTTCAATTCCTTTTATTTAGATATGCAACTCTTTTTATTCAATAACAGTGCATATGTTACTTATTCAGTAAGAGTTTGGTATGAATCTTGTCGTAATAGTAATATTGAACTGGAGATCTTTTTAAGTATGAGAAACATTTAAACAGTTTCTGTTGTCACTTGAAATAGGAGTTAAGTCCCAGAGATTCATATTTGTATAATGAACTAATGTCTCCATCTGTTAGACAGCCTGAAACATCCTGCAAGGGGCTCAGCTGAGGAAAGAACAGTACGCATTTTGCTCTGTGATATTGGACCACAATACAGATGTTAGAGATCAGAGACTATCAGATGAAGGAGTAAGCATGCTAAATAATACCCTGGTTTCACCATAAGTCTTCTTTTGGGGTGCTTCAAACAAAGATGTGAAAATTAAACTGGATTTACATAAACATTTTTAGTAAACAGAGATACCATTTCAGAATTAATATTGTTCTTTAGATTCACACATGTATAATACATTTCATTGCTGTAGAAAAAAGTAATGTTACCATAATCTGAGTTTTTAAGGAAAAGACTAAATACTTAAACAAGGTCATGAACTGCTAGATGAGAAGAATATATGTGTATTACATAGACCAAAGAAACTGCATCAATGGGGACAGGGGGAGTGAGATCATAAGTCATTAACTATGGCTTTATGCTTCACAGTGGGTTTAATCTTATTAACTGCTTTCCATTCATTCTGTTATTTCCATGGAATAAGATTCTAAGTCTGCTCCAGGTTGAAAGTGAATATTATGCAATCCAGTAAGTTCTGTACCTATTGTTAGCATGTACAAGGCACATCAGTGGTGCCAATGTTTATTCTTAACAGTCTGAAGTAATCACGAAATTTCACAACTCTGGGCAGTCATCACTGCTATAAAAGCAAAGAGATATTTCTAAAGTCGTCTAGTGAGTGAATAAACCAATGGCTTTTATCCAGATTTTGCAGGTCACTAGATGTTCAAAACAGCAAAGCAAATTAAAAGAACCCTTTCTCTTTTGCTGTCATGGTAATTTTGCAGTTGAGTATATGATGATGTGCTAATGTAAAAGCTATTGAGGAAGATATGGAGGGATCTTCTTCTAACACTGCCTTGAAAGGTAGAAATAAATGTTGCATTTCAAATCACAGATCTCCTTGAAATTTGATTTCATTTTAAAAGGCATCTTAAGCACAAAATTTTTGTCCCTTGGTAACTTCCAATCAGATGAGAGTCCACTTAGAAGTAAAAACATAAATTTCTAATTGTCAGTCCTGTAACCTCAGCCTGAAAATCAAGTGGCAACTTTTTGATTTATGCCTCATCACTATTATTTATTCTTCTGCAGGCCAGAATTTTTTTTCCCCCTCCTATTGCAGAATATCAGGTCTTTCCTTGGGATCTCTTGAGATGACAGACTAAGCATGGGCAGCGTCCATAGAGAGTCTCAGTCTACTGTATTCAAGCAAAACAAATATATAGAGAGGGAGTCACTGTGCGTTTTCAGATTACCCTCTGAGGGCTATGATAGCTGTGCTGAGCTGGCAAAGCCAAAATTTCAACACAGAATTCTCGACAGAATGTATTTGATTTCTTTCTAGCCCACCCTGAAAAGAGAAAGGGCAGGTGTTTTGATGTATTCTCTGTAAACCTTCTCTGAATTTAAGAAATTGGATGGGATGCCAAGTACACAGAATGATCCAAGCTTTTGCAGAAAATGATACCCCTTCATTCATCCCAGCAAGTAATACAATAGTTCTACTTCTTCTCCTTCTGCTATTTGAGAAAGTAGGACCTATTTTTCGAATGTCCCATATGAGAAGTGCAGCCTTTTCTGATTACAGAAAAAGATGTTCATTTTTACCAGCTTTTCCATTTTAGTTTCCAGTTTACTGAAAGAGACCTTCCTCTCCCATCATGGTTTTCCTCAGTCCCCTAACATGTCTTAATCCAATTAGTGTTGCCACCTTTCTTGCTTCCTTTCTGTCTTTCTGATAATGCATATATATTGCACAGGATATCTCCTGAGTTTGAAATTAAAATGTCTTTTTTGGACTTCACTATGGAAAAATGTCTAAAATTGGGTAATAACACATGCAGTTCCAAAGTCTTCCGTAATGCACAGTTGACCAGCCATTAAAGAAATAGATTTTTTTCTTCAAGGCCTCATTTAGGGAGCAGAGCTGCTACTGCTGGAACAGTAAACCCAATTTTGTCTTTCAGATACTCTTCTGAAATGCCTATCTCCCACATAGCTGCAGTTTCCTGTCCTTTCTGTTACCCTACCTTTGCTAATCGTGGCTTCAGTGGAGTTGATATGAGATGTGCACATAGGTTTTTGCAACTTAATAATGCCAGTCTTCATGGGGCTGTAAAGAAAATTAAGCAGACAGAACCAGCACACAGTATAAATAGATTGTGGTTACAATCCTAATCCAGGCTGGAGATTCAGTCCATGCACTTTCATTCCCTTGTAAAGTAATATTTAATATGCATCTCCACAGATGTAGGCTCTGAATGTCTCCTCTAATGTACTTCTAAACGTGTCATTTTAAGATGACTATTTTTAACATAGTGCAGTAAAGGACTTTCAAAAGATAATTACAGGTTCAAAGGCTTCAGTTAGGACAGCAATTCCTGAGTGCAAGCAACTGAATTCTCTTAGTTATTCACTAGACAAATGCACTAAGAAAGTTAGAAGGGCAGGAATCTCAAGATGAAAATGAAAGTTGGAAACACAAAGTGAGAGAAGATGGAATACTTTTTTTCTCTGAAAAATAAAAAACTGTGTGTCTCTGATGCTACCAAGCAGGTCCAACTGAAATTCAGACAAGGGGCAAAGGATACTGTGCTTTCATTAACAGTGCTTGCATAGAAAGTACCCATAAAGGCTCAGGGAATACCAGTTGCTTCAAAATCAGGTGACAATGCAGACTTAACAGGATGACTTGGAGCAGCTCCTGAAAACTCCTGTGCCCAAACATGAACAGAAAGCTAGATGTTAGCCCAGAAAGTTTTCTTGCCAGGGCAACAGATTTTTGTAACAGATTTCATGCCTATATGAAGTTAAAGCCTTCAAACTGAACCTAGCTTTTGGCTTGTTTGCTTCCCTTTAAGCAGTGGTCACGAACAGGCTGGTAATGAACACATCATTTCCCAGAGTATTAAAATAGGCAACAAATTATTAGTGTTTATATAAGCAAATAACACAGGTTGGAATCACTCTTTTATAAGGGTTTAAAACTAAAACCATCAGCGTGAACCACTTTCATCTCTCAGGAAATGGAGCACAGGATAAATACTACGTGTGTTGGGAGTGCATTAGATATTCACCTTTCACTTTTGCATGATGGATTTGGTGAAATAAGCAATTAACACTGATAAACTGAGGACCTCTTGCAAGTGATGGTATGGACCCAGGAAGAGATGGCCTGTTGGATAACCAGTGCCAAACCTAAGCTAAGGTGAAAACTTTGGAATATCAGTGGGTTACAAATGTAGGAATAGGTTCCCAGGAAAGAATAACTGTGCCAACAGAGAAAGTTCCTCCCCTGTCTCAAGAATTTGATGTCTCATTTTCATCTTAAAGGGGAAGAATTTACTTTTTCTTTTTATAAAATGTCACATTGTTTTAGAGTTCTGGTGAAATGTTAAGAAGAGTAGGTTCCTCTAGAAGATTACAGTGGGGTTTGCTGTGTTCGTTCTTATTGATGGGTTAGGGAGTAATGTTTTCACAGGAATAATTGTTCCCATTGCACATAAACACATATTTATGATATGTATTAGATGCAATTCTGTTCAGTGCTTGCTAGTCATTAGGCTTAGTGACTTGTTCAAGCTCATTTTGCATTTTTAAAAAAATTGTTTTCCTCTGAACTCTTCTGGTTTTGCTTGTTTCAAAATTAAATTAATAGTAAGATTTTCATCAATAGGGAGCACTGACAGTTTAGCCACTATAACTTTGCGTGTATTTTATATGCAGATTAAAGCACATTTTTGGGCTATAAATCAATCTAATATTGTAATTGTGCTTCCCATTCAACTGTTCACTGTTTCTTGGACATCTGTTATGCATTGAGCAGCTGCTTCTATTGGGATGAACCCAGTGGCTTCTAGATATTATTTATGAATCCAGTGAATTTAAATTCAAGGAATATATATTATAATCCAGATTTCTGAAGTACATCTTTCCACATTTTGTCAAAATGCATGTTGGCATATCAGTTATTTCTGTTACCCACTTTAACATAATCTCTGAAATTTCTTAACTGTCTTTTCAGATCTATCCTACTTATATTTTTGTGTACTTCCTATATTGAAATTTCACTTTTAGTCATATTCTCATACCTCAATTAAAGTATATTCAGCATCAAACTTTATATGAATACCAAGGTGGTGCGATATTAGTCTTTTAATATGGCTTTCCAGTCATTCCTATTGCTTGTTATCAGAGTCTCATCCAGCTTTTTAACTTCTTACAATCAACCTTGGTCCAGAGATATTTTTAAGTTATGACAACAATGACATAGAACAGAGAGCAAGATTTTTTTTTTATGACTGGTTGTTTAATTGGTAGTTGAGTGGAAAGTATTTTGAATACTTTCTATGACAGCTGTAGCTATGAAACGAGAAAGAATTATATCTCTGCAGAGCACCACAGAAAATGGTACGAGGACTGTGAGACTTCTGCAGACTCATCTAACGCATCATATAGTGACAACACTGGAAAAAAAGATCCTGAATTAGACAGAAAAATGTTATCTATGTCTGCTGCTCTTGTGGTCCAGACCTCTTTCACAGAATTTCTACTCAGTCTGTGCCCCAGAAATATTTTCTGTAATATTGCAGTATGTTTAGCATTCTCTTAAATATACTTTTGAGTAAAAAACTGTTAATTTACAAATATTTGTGAACTGCAGAAAATCATTCAGCTCATCCCAGTATATGTGGATTCAGCTGGCAGAATGAGTGAAGTGTTACAATACCATGGAAAATAGTTCGCTTAGAGAATATAATGTATATGCTTCAGAGGTACACACACCTCAGCAGAATACTGCATATGCCTGTCCTATCAACAAAAGGGCAGGTATTTCCATCACATGGAAAATGACTGGCACAACTAGCTCTCTGTGAGAATCTGAAAAAGGAACAGCAAAACTGATTTTGTCAAGGACAAAAGGAGAATGAAGGGCAACACAAGAGGAGACAGTAATACATTTAGGCATTTACTTAAAAAGATTTGAATGATCCTGATCTGAGCAAAGGACAGTTAAGAGTGATATATGTAATTACCCTGAAAAATAAATATGAGAACTCATTTAAGCTTTTTACTAAAACCGCAAAGGCTTGACTTACCATAAGCTGTAAGAGATGTCATTAAATCATCAGCCTTTAAGAATAACTGCTTGTTGTGGTTTCTGAGATGCTCCTTTCTCTACCAGTACTCTGAGTAATTGTGTACAACTCCAAGAATTGATACCTGTAAGGAAGTTCCAGTGTCAGACAGACAAAGAAAGTAAAATATAAAAAAAGGTAAGCAATCCTGTTCACATCAGTGGGTCTTATCATAGTTGTATAGGTTGTAAGATTTGTCTCTGAAGTCACACTATGCTAATATGAGAGTACAGAAGACAATTTAATAAATGGGCTACATCAAGTCAGTTCATTGGTGTTCTGTGGAGTGTAGTCTGTGTACCAATAAAAATCTCCATGATTTTTATTAATTCCATTAAAGTAGCATGCCACCTCCAAATATTTATAGAGATCAAGCAGACTCACTTCAGGACAAGCCCTTCATACATACCAGAGGTACCACTTCCTGAAATGTAAACAGTTGGCATCTGCTGAACCCTAATCCCTAAATCAGAAACATAAATGTTTGGATTAACAAAAAATGGAAAGCCTTACTCTTTGTTGTTGACCTCCTACTACATATTTTTTCACTTTCAATGTTACGTACATGACTAGCATTCTTTATCCAGGACTGGAAATGAGGTGACTTTTTGGCGCAGTGACTTTTTGGCATAGTGACCACAAAGGACAGCAATGATCAAATTCAAGCCAACACAAACCCTCACTGATGCTCACCAACTTCAGATTTGAAATCAAGCCTTCAGTTCAATGTTACACATGTGATGCAGCTGTGTGATGATGCACATGTGATGAGGCAAGTAAGATTTCATACTCTTAAGAATCAGAGAAATAAAAGGATATTTATTTTACCCCTTTAAAAGAGTATATGGATCTGATACCAGAAAAAGTTGAGGAAATATAAAACATAAGCTTATCATTGAAATCTATTTGTTTTTTCTACACAGAGAGTTTTAGCACCCCACTGCACCAGAGACAAAGTGTTTAATAACTGTTAAGTGTTTTAGCACAGACCTGGAATTGCTGTCTGTCATATTTGCAGTGCATATATGTGTAATACAGAATG